GGCCCAGGGGATCCCCCTGCACTCCCCCTTCCACCTCCTGGGGCTCAGGCGCGGAGCACACGGGGCCGGACCCGGACCCGGCACGGTGGGGTACCGAGGGCCGCCCTGTGCCCCTCCAGCGGCTCCTGGCCCCCGCTGGCACCCTGCACGCCGACAAGAAGCCACAGGACTCCCGGTTCGGCTATGCCCTGGCCGCCGTGCCGGATCTCAACCATGATGGCTTCAATGACGTGGTGGTGGGGGCTCCGCTGGAGGACGGGCACCGCGGTGCCGTCTATGTCTACCATGGCGCCCCGGGCACCCTCCTGCCCCATTACAAGCAGGTGAGATGGGTTGGGGGGGGTGTCGCTGCCATCTGGGGGCAACCTGACATTGAGCACAACCTTATACAAGACAGCAGTGAAGCCACTGCTCTCGCTGCTCTCACCTCCCCAGCGCATCGAGGCGGCGGCGCTGGGCCCAGCCCTCAGCTATTTCGGACGCAGCGTGGACGGGCAGCTGGACCTGGATGGGGACGGGCTGGTGGACTTGGCCGTGGGGGCGCAGGGGGCGGCCGTGCTGCTGCGGTGAGTCCTGGGGACGGGGACGGGCGGAGGGGACATGGCTGTGCTGCCAGCCCCCACGCTCTGCAGGGCCACCCGGCTCAGCCATGCCTGGCGGGATGCGCTCAGGCAGCTCCTGGACCCCCCCGTGCCTCGGTTTCCCCTTGCTGTAAGAGGAGGAGAGCCTGGGGACAGCCAGGGTTGGATGTCAGCGTCCCAGTGACGCTGTCCCCTCGCTGCCAGCTCCCGCCAGATTGTCCAGGTCAACACCTCGCTGACGGTGGAGCCCTCATCCATCAACGTCATCCAGAAGAACTGCCACCGCGGCGGCACCGGCGCCGTCTGCCTCCGGGCCAAGGTCTGCTTCCGTGCCGAGACCCGAGCCCGGGGCCAGCGGGAGAGGGAGATCGGTGAGTGCGGGGGGACGGGACAGGCGCCCGGCCCTGGAGCATCCCCGGGTGGCCCTGGAGCATCCCAGGGCTTCCCCAGAGCAGCCCTGGGGTGGCCCCAGAGCATCCGTGTGCCGATCCCAGAGCAGCCCAAGCCCATCCTCAGGGTGTCCCCAGAGCATCCCTGGAGCACCCCAGGACCGTCTCTGGAGTGGCCGCTCAGTATCAGTGGAGCAGCCATGTGCCATCCCTGGAGCATCTCAAGAGCATCCTCAGGGTGTCCCTGGAGCATCCCTGGGGTGTCCCCAAGCATCCCTGGGGTGTCCCCAGCGCGTCTCCGGGCTGTCCCCAGCCCCGCGAGTGGCCCCAACCACTGACCCCCGTCCTCGTCCCCGCACAGAGCTCCGGTACAACGTGTCCCTGGAGGAGAGGACGCCGGGAGCCCGAGCCGCCTTCGACTCGGGTGCCCGGCGGCTGCTGCAGCGCCGCCTCGAGCTCCCGCTGGGGAGGCAGAGCTGCGTCCGCTTCCCCTTCCACGTCCTGGTGAGCCACGGCGGGACCCCTCCCTGGGACACGGGTGGCTTTTCCCACCCCCCCAGCAGCACTGGGGGCTAATGGGGACCCCCCCCGCCCTCCCCAGGACACCACGGACTATCTGCGACCCCTCAGCTTCACAGTGAGGTTGGCCATGGCCGAATCCACCGGGCCGGTGCTGGATGAGACGTCCCCCACCACCATCCAGAAGCTGGTGGGCGCTGGAGGGGGGGGTGGCCGGATCCGGGATCATCCCTGGTGCTGCCGGCACCAGGCTCACACCCCGCTCCTTCCAGATCCCCTTCTTCAAGGACTGCGGGGAGGACAACGAGTGCGTCACGGACCTGGTGCTCCGGGCCACCATGGACATCGTGGGCTCCAGGTATGGGGTGTCCCCGCGGTGGCCCGGGGCTGAGCTGTGTCCCGGGAGCCCCCCCGGCCATAACCGCCCTGGCCACTGCAGGCAGAGCCCCCACGTCCTGCGCAAGGGCAGGAGGAAGGTGGCGGTGGACGTGGTCCTGGAGAACAAGAAGGAGAACGCCTACAACGCCAGCCTGCTCCTCCGCTTCTCCAGCAACCTCCACTTCTCCAGCCTCGCGCTCCAGGTACGGGGACGTGGGGGGCTCCCCCAGACCTGTGCGGACCCCCCAGCCCCTCCAAGACATCGTCGTCCCTCCAGCCCCATGCAGACCATCCAGTCCACCCCAGGGCAAAGACTGGGGTCTCACCGGTCTTATATAGACCCTCCAGCCCATCCTCATCCCCAACCCAGCCCAGGTTGGGGGGGTCCATTGGCCCCATATGGATCCCCCAACCCAAGGTGGGGGCCCACATGGCCATAGGGCCCCTGTGCTCAGCCCAAGCCCCCCCAGCTCAATCCCCTGGCACTCCCGTCCCCGCAGGTGACGTCCCCCCCTCCGCAGGACGCCAGCCCGGTGAAGCTGGAGTGCACGGCGCTGGCGGGCCCCCGCCGGCTCTGCAGCGTTGGCTACCCCGTCTTCCGCTCGTTGGCCAAGGTAGGGGACCGCTGGGCCCCCCGCTGGCCCCGTGCACCCATCCCACCCACTCACGGCCCCGCTCGCCCCCAGGTCTCCTTCGCCCTGGAGCTGGAGTTCAGCTGCTCCGTCCTCCTCGACCGAGCCGAGGTTGCCCTCGAGGCCAGCAGGTAGGAGCGGGGCCGGGGGCTGCACCCCATGGGGTGGCCCAGGCACCGGGGGGTCTCAGGGTCCTTCCGAGCTCCCCACGGCCACGTCTCCCCCCTCCAGCGACAGCACCGAGGCAACGCCGGAGGACAACACGGTCCAGCTTTCTGCCCCCATCCGCTACGAGCCCGACCTCTTCCTCTCCAGGTAGGGCTGGGGGGAGCGGGGCAAAGATGGGGGGGCTTCATGGGGCTGGGGAGGGAGGCAGCGGAGACGCAGAAGCCGACCCCACTCTCATCCCGGCAGCGATGCCAACCTGCACCGCTACGAGGTTCACCCGCTCGGCACCTTCCCCCACGGCCCCGGCCCCGAATTCAAGACCACGGTGAAGGTGAGGAGATAGGGG